TTTTAACCACATTTCAGTCTTTCTGGGTCATTTCTGAGTGGTTCTGGACACATTCTGAATCATTTTGGAGATTTTATTTGCATTGTGAGACCAGTTTAGAGTCACCAGGTTGGTGTTGTGTCTCCAGAAAGTTCCTGTCAGTGTCTGTCTATGGATGGATCCATGGTTCTACTGGAACCCAGTCTCTGGTCACATTTCACCAACTGTTTAGGCTCTAACATCAGTAGAACCTGATGAGGTGAAGTTGGACCAGACAAGGTTCTGGTTTTAGATGTGTAGACTAAATGCTGATGTGGATCATTGTAGGAACCAGAACCTGGAGTCCACAGGTTCAACATGTTGGTTCTGGATATTGGTTTGTTACAAGCTGCTTCATGTTGGTCTTCATGTTGAGATTTTTCCTGAATGGTGGAACTTTTTGAACACATGAACCTAAACTTGGAGGTTTGGGTTTTCTTTAGAGATGAAGCTCTGTATATACGGCCACAGTGAGATGTTGGCAAAAAGCCGATAACATAAAGTTGTGTGAAACTGTTTGTCTGTCTGAGGTTAAGTTTTAATTTGTCACATATTGAGGAAGATTCCCAGGTTGTGCTGGATTAGCTCAACCAGGAGGGTCCAGGTCAGACTGGACAACATGGGAGCAGGTCTGCAGGACTTGAAGCTGAACCGTAATCCGACTGTAGTTCCAGAGTTCCTGGGAAAGCCCTTGGTGTCTTTGTTCAGACTCTGCGTGTTCGTGTTCGTTTGATCGGCGCCTCGTGTTTCTGAACGCCGGCTCTGAGACGGTTTCATCCTGCAGAGCGGCAGACAGCTGGCGGAGCTCCACGGCGTCCTGACGATCCGACGCAGCGTCAAAGTCAACACGTTAGAAGCCATAAAACGTTTTGCTTCACATTGCATTTTTAAATATAGACATCGACGTCTGACTGCGAGGACAAAGCAGACGCTGCAGCTTCTCCGCTCGGCGGTATGACGGAGCGTTTCTCAGAGGACGACAGCAGGAAGGATGTTTGTGCTCATTAAAGCTTGAACCGGGAGCTGTTTGCTCTGTGCAGCGATTTACATCTGAACGAGTTCAGTCACGAAGAGACCGACGGCGAGCTGACAGCAGCGTCTCACGGCGCTAAAACTGGAGAGGAACTCTGGGAANGCTACAGAGCTGATGTGTCACACTGTGCTTCATGTGCAGAATAATAAAGTATTTTAATGTTTTTAGAAACGCATCACCTGTGAAGAAGCTCTGATCTCCCTGTGAAGCCTCCTAATGCTCTGACCTCAGCTGACCTCCTGAGCTGGAGGATGGCTGTGAGCCGACTCACTCGCTTCCAGCGGCGAGGAGCTATCCAGTGAAACCCAGAGCTGAGTCACCGTCTCAGGCCTGCAGTCAGGAATATTAGAGCGCCTCCGTTATGCTCAGCCCTCTCTGTGTCTCATCACTGATTAATTAATAAAAGCCAGTGTGCTGCATTAGCCGATCTCCCAGCTGAGCCGTCGCCTCTGATTTCACCCACATCACTTACACTGGTATCGCACGGCTTCTCCTCCTCCTCCACTCTGTTCTACTTCTCCAGTCTCTCCTCCCTTTTTGTTCCTCCTCGAGTTTCTGACTCGCTCTGGCACATTTCCATCACCTCTCTCAGCTCGTCTCCTCCACCTTGCCTGACCTCTGTTTCGTCTTTGTCTTCTTCTGTTTGCGTCCTAACTGCCCTCCGGTCACACCGTTTCCTCCTTATTAACCCTAAAACTGCACCCCTGGATTCAAATCAGCTAAAACATCATCACTTCACACATATCTGTTGTTGTTTATCCAGTTTCTGTAGAACTCCAGAGTGTCATGGTTTTATTACGGAGTGGGTTTTTCGGATCACCATCTCGCTCTCATGTCCTCGTCTGCAGATGCAGGCCTGCAGGATGTGGGAGGACCTGTCTTCTTATTAGTTTTGCCGTCGCAGCCTTAAATAAAACACCTGCGACGCCTCCTGTCCCTGGTTAATTATTCATTGCTTTCTGTTTTTAGAAACACTCGCCCTTCCTCGCTGTGTTTCCGTCTTTGTAACCTCCCGCTCTGCCTCCATTAGCTTCACCTGAGCATCATTACCGTTCCCTCCCTGGTGTTTCTACTCCGTGTTTCACCGTCTCTGCGCCGCTTCGTCTTTGTAGCCCACATCCGGCCTTTCCCCGTCAGCCTCGTGGCGTTTCTGATCTCTGCTTGTTAGTTCGTCGGACTCGGCCGGCGTCGACTCCTCGCTGGACGCCGCCGCCTTCTCCTCCGACTGCCCACCTGTTCGCTGAACCAATTTAAAGTCGAGGCAGCGTTTTGAACTTTGTCCTGCCTCTGAGTCGTGCAGCTGAATCCTCTTGTCAGTTTGTTCACCGGTTCTTAAAAACCACGATGAACTCTTGGCTCGGTCGGCTCTGAGTGCAGGTGTGGGCGTTTGCGTGGAGAGACATGGATGAGTGTGAGCTGGTACAAACATCTGTCTCTGTATCTGGTTAGAAGAAATGGAGGAAGTACACCTGCAGTCGTGAACATAAACTAAATCCACTCATAGAGACCATGTGGACGAGTTCCTATAAATCATCACTGAAACATGTGAATCCTCGCCACAAAAACAATCCTGTGTTT